AAAAAAGTAATCTAAATTTACGAATGCGTGTACTGTAAATACAGTACATACTTGTATATATTTTAATATGATTTTATGTGCTTTAAACGTTTATCTAGTGATATTACGACTTCAATATTTGTGGCGGACAGACGTAAAGTCGAATAAAATGACTTAAACTTGATTTTTATTTTTCCATATACTTTTTTAACAAGCGACGTATAATCGGGAACGACGTAACTCGAAACGACGTAAGTCGAGGTATGCCTGTATAGTATTACATGCATTTTTTTAAATTTACTTTTTGTTTACTTTTATAATCTGTGTTACTGTATATAGGCAATACAATATGGTACACCACAGTTCTGTATATCAATTTTTTTTGTAACTTCACATCACTTATGTGGCCAGAAACTGTTAAACCCAAAGATGGCCACATAAGTGAGGTTTGCTGTATTTTAAAAAATAATAGCATTTAAGAAAAATACATCAATATTTAACTCTTCCATACAGTTAACTAACAGATTAATAATACAAAATGACCTTTTGCATCTTTTTATTTTGGAAAATTTAATTAAATTTTGAATAAATGACTAAATGAATGTTTGAGATAAAGAAAAACTTCAATTTTAATAAAAAATTTTTTGAACTTCATTTGGAGTAAATAATTAATAATTGTAAACTGTTCTTGTTATAAAATGATCCTTTTCTAGACTTGCACATCTTGTTCCTAATGGACTCTGGTGTGTCTATATTCAGTTACTATCACTTTTTACCAACAAATGTTTATATAATAATTTGGGTAATAAAACAAAATTATTTAGTTTATAAAAAAATAGTCAAGTTTTTCTGATAATTAATGCAACAAGTAATAATTTTATTATAACATTTGTAATATATTTAAGTTAAAAAGTTAAAATTATAGAAACAATGCTTTGCAATAAATGGCACTTTGTGATAAAATATTTAGTGAATTAGCACTAATGATAATTTAAGATAATTTACTAACTTAATATCCACTTTCCTCTCCGTATTCCTCTTCTATTTCATTTTCGGACGCTTCTGCAGTTTCGTTTGAAGTTTTGCTTTCTTCCAGGAAACTGATGTGACTTGCAGGTTGAATATTCAGAGCCTTGTATATGGCTTTCAGAACGTCCGCATTTATGTAATAAGGTAAATTGATGCCCGGTAACTTTGCTTGCATTTCTTCAATGAGTGTGTGTGCGGTTTTGTAATTCTGTTCGCGAACATAATGTTCTACTAAGAATCCGTATATGTCGCCTTTGTGTATGGCCATATCTACGTTTTCTTCTGTTAACAAATTCTGACACTGCTGGACGGATTCTATATGATTTGCTTTGTACAACTGCCTAGCTTGAACAAATCTTTTCAACAGTTCCATTTTTATTTTCAAATTTTCTATTTTGTCAGTTATTTGTAAATTATTCTGTGCCTTAGACAGACATTTAAATGCTTCGTGTAAGGCTCCAAGAGCTTTCTCGTAATTTTGGTATTCGTCCATTTCCACCTGGGCGCACGCTTCGTAAAATCCTGCTAATAAATCCGGTGCTTTGCCCTTTGTATAAAAATTAATGATGTTTTTCATTATCTCTGGATCTTGTCTCCAATCTAACGACTGCAAATAATTAGCGGCCATGACATAAATTTCTTTCTGCCTCGAAACGCCAGTAAAAAATATAATTTTTTCTGTGTCGCCAGACTTCAATAATGATTTCATAGCTTGAATCTTCTTACCGGCCTGAGTGAATTTTTTAGCTGCTAGATGATAATTATTTTGTAACATGCAGCATTCTCCAATTTTTTCTAAAATTTGTGTTCTTAATTCAGAATTGGAATCTTTATCTAAAGTTAATTTTTCTGCAAGTTCTTCTGTTATAAAAACATTGTGTTCAACACACAATTCCAATGCTTCTATATATTTTTTAGCATCTGCTAATAAATCAACTGCTTTATCATACTGCTTATTTTCCATAAAAAATTGTGCACATTTGTGTAAAAGTTGAGGATCGGTATTCTCACTGAGATTAGAGGCAATGGATTGTAATGCATCGAATTCCTGAGTTCTGAAAGCTAATTCGATGGCTTTGTTTAAATAGCCCGCTTTGTGATAGAGCATAATTGCTTTTTCACGATGTTCAGAATGTTCTTCGTAATAATGTGCCACTTCGTTCATTACTTGTGGACCACTCATCAGTGCCAAGTTAAGTAATTGGTCTTCTAAACCGTGTTCTTTACAGATACGGACGGCATTGTTGTAAGCACGAGCACGAGAAAAAAAATGCACTGCTTCTTTTATGTTATCTTGATTCTCAAATTGTCTTCCCAAATGAAAACATGCTGCTCTATGTCCTGTTTCATTAGCAATTTCTGATGCTTTTTCTAAGTTATTACAGTAACAATATAACCGAACTAAAGACAGATAATCTTGAGCAGCTTCATAAAATTGTAAAGCTGTTTCCATCTCTCCAATACTTTCTAAATATTGTGCCCACCATTTATGTAATTCTTTATCTTTACTTTTCAAAATATATCCTTCCAAGACATGAGGTTCTTCAAAAAGCATTCTAGGAATTTCAAAATAATGGGTTTCGGATTTTTCGTACATCGGAATGGCAGAGGCAATATCTCCTTTGGCTTCCAGATGACGGGCATAATTGTAATAAGTACTTCGTAGATGAACGCGATCTCTGTGTTCCGCCATTTCGATTGCTTTTGTCCACTGACCACTATCCTGGTATAATTTATTTAAAAGGTCAAAACGATTACTACTCTGTAATAAATGTTCTGCTTCTTTTAACATACCTAACTGTGTTGCAAGAATTGCAACTCTAGCATCCAATTCTGGTTCGTCTGCAGTTTCTCTAATTGCTTTAGCTCCTCGAGCATGACCCATTTTTCCGAGACAGACACTAGCAACATCTAATCTTTTGGTTTTAACACACATTCTTGCCATGTTTTCCCATACTGATTCATTTTTTATAACTTTTATAGCTTTAAATGCTTCATCCATATTTCCAACAGTTAAAAAATAACTAAATGACATTATGGCATTTCTTGTAACTTTATCACAGTCTTCTAAACCTATAAAATCTTTCATTGTCTGTTTAACTACAACAGGCATCTTCTCTGTAGATTCACCCGCAATTTTGAAATCTGAGGAATCCGTACGAGAATCGTGCGACTTCTGTAGTAATATATAATATGGAACTTGAACACCCAAAAGGATATAAGTCGACTCATTCAATGCAAAATGATCTTGTATAAGTAAACCTTGTTCTGACGTTGTGAAAAATGACACAACCATAGTTTTTGAATTAGTGTTCCAATCTATAGATATATTTTCTTGTACGTTTTTTTCTATTATCTTACCTCTAGTGGTATGTTTAACATGCTGTAGTCTAGCTTCACAAATTAAAAGCTGAGAGTCATCTGGGTCCCAACAATGAAAAAATGGAAATCTTCCATTGATAATTTGTGCAGTCTCAAAGTGCAACTTCCAGGTAGAACTTTGATAGCTAGCAGATTCCGAAGAATCACTATCGTCTCTTCTACCATTTGAAAAATCAAAATGAAATAAATAATCACTATCTACATCCCATACATGAATAACAGGATCCGGTATCATCTCACCTCGATATAATCTAACAATTGAAATGCTAACTTTATTCCCTTTACCATTACATTTTACTAATGATATATCCCCATCATCTTTAAGAATTGATGCAAGAGATTTAGGACCGGCGTGTGGTTTTGCTTCTCTCCTACTTATATCCCATAACTTTAAAAATCCATTTGTTGTACCAGAAACAAGAAAATTATTGGATATATCTATACAAACAGGGGGACCTTCTTCTTCAGTAAAGACAAGGCTTTGTTTGGATGTGCCTTGAAAAGTATAAACTTCTATTTTTCCATTTTCCATAACAAAAGCACTATGTTCATGTAATGCTACCATTTGAGATTTTGAATTGAAAGAACCTACAAATTTTGCAATATTTTCTTTTGATATTTCGTAAAAATAAAGCTGATTACCAGAAGATATCGAAACAAAATTAGAATTTACAAATACCGCCTTAACGTGAACGTCCGTTTGTAGTTCTATATTTTTATCCGTGGATAACAGAGTCAGGCTCAACCGCCTAGCAGAGGTCTGAACCGCCACAACATTATCTCGAAAGCTATACGACATTTTTTCCTCGACCAGTACGTATACGTCCGTGGCTGTCAAAACACCCAATATTCTTTTACTAGTTCCCCAATTGAGCATTCTGACGGCTCCTTGAACGGAAATAAACGGTTGTAATTTCCAGTTTTCTTCCTGTCTTTCGAAACCGTTCGTCGTATTATCCGGTTTATACTTCCAAATTAAAACGTGCCCGTGACTCGTCCCCGCAGAGAGAACGGACCGCACGTCGTCGTACGCCATGCACGTCAACGCTTCGGACGATTCGCCTAAATTTGAATCGTCAAGAGAAAGCACAAAATTACTTCCGTTTTCCAAATTCCACAGTCTCATCACTCTCTCTCCGGAATTGACGGCCAGAATGGAAGGACAGGTCCATATCACGCCGACGTCGGCACTCTTTCCGCTCAGTTTGACCCTAGTCAGCTCCGTCAGATTTCCCTCCTCTCCGATCTGATACTGTACAAGATTTAAGGATTCGGTCACGACGATCAGTCTGTTCCGTTCCGAATAATGAAGTAACTTCCGAATTCCGCTCTCGGCCGCGAGGACGTCGGCACAGTTGCCGTTTCCGTCGACGTAAAAGACCGCGCCGGACGAGCAGCCGAGAAAGAGTTCTCCGGAGTCCCCGCGGGCCGAGGTCCGACCCTCCGCGGGACGCCGCCAGTCGCAGAAAACGTTCAGGGCGTCCTCGTCTCCGTCCACGGCGGCCCTCAACAGACGGGAGATCTCCCCGTCTCCGTCCCCGGATCCGCCTCCCCGAAACAGGACGTCGGTCACGCCGTCCTTCAGCTCGTGACAGAAGACGAGGCCGAGCCGATCCCCGTCCACCAGCCTCCACCCCACGCAGGTGCCGTCGGAATCCACGCTGACCAACCTGCCTCCCCCGTCGCTCCACTGCAAATACAAAACGGGAGTCTTGTGCTTCGAGGTTTCGTTCTGCAAAATTTCGGTCTTTCCGTTCCAAAGGACGATTTCACCATTTTCCCATCCGTAAGCTATTATTTTGCGAACGGGATGCCAAGCCACAGAAGTAATCTGCAAACCGACTTTAAAGGAAATTCCGGCATCGACCGCAGTTCCGTCTTCTCCGTAGACGGAAAGGATTCCTCCTTTTTCTTGGTCGAACGACGAAACACACAGCAAAGGATGCGTCCGGTGCCAAGACAGATAGGTGTTAAGAGCCGCGTTCGAAGAGGCATTTTCGATTTTATAATCCAAGAAAATTTCCATCGAGATCACAAATGTGAAAACGTGACGCCACGAGAATCCTTCCAAGTTTTCACTCTTTTAATGAACGAATTTCCTCACGCCAAAGGCACAAACTGACGTTTCCGTGCACTTCGGCATATCCATTGCACAGACGATCGATTGCGATCGATTCCGCTCAGTGTTGCCAGATGTTTTCAGTGTTTGTAGTCAAAGCTTTCTGAAAAGTATCCCAAAAATAGCCAACTCAAAAATTTTTTTTAATAATTCGACATTTGACGAAATAGATAAAAAAAACCACGCCATTCGTACTTTTCCAGCAATGACTTTAATCACAATAAATGTTTTCGGCCTGTAAACTGATCGGAAATAAGGATCGCAAGACTCAAAATACTGTAATTTATATATACTGCATATACTGTAATTCACTATGTCGAGAACACGCATTTTATCTGCCAAGTAGATTGCAACGATCTTGCCAAGACGGACTACAAAAAATTCATTTTTCTATACTTAATAACTATCAAGAATATTACAATCAAATTTGCTATTACAAAGGATTTATCAAACTACAATTATTTAATTTATTTGAAAGTTGACTAACAGATTTCTTTATCAAGGCAATACGTACTGTACATTAATAATAGATCAGTGGCGTACCGTGGGTGTCAGCCGCCCGGGGCAGAGGAAAATTTCGGCCCCTCTTATTTAGGTATTTCAATTTAAAAGACCAAAATGGACTTTTGTCACAGAACAAGCAATGAAAAATTTGGTGGTAGTGCAGCGACCTGTTTAAAATAGTTCTATTGCATATTAGTGGTGTATATGAACGCGAATGAATCGTACAAGCAAAGAAAAGAAAAGGTCAACAGGTCCGCACGCAGGAATTCCTCGGATTAAAAAGTTACTAGTTCACCCGGCGAGCCGATTCCCGGACTGTCCGGACGATAGCACTATCGTAGGCGCGATGCAAGTATAGATTAAGATGTTTCAAATTTTTACAAGATATTATTATTATTTATTATGAAATTTTGCCGCCCCCTAAAAAGTGCCGCCCGGGGCGGGCCGCCCCTGCCGCCCCCACTACGGTACGCCACTGTAATAGATATAGAATGCCTATACCCCACAGTACAGAAAGTAGACTACAGAAACAAATTAAATTATTAAAAACAAATATTAAATTTATCATCGAAAATAACAAAGAAACAAAGACGGCCGCGTGGCCGAGCGGCTAAGGTGGGCAGACTATCGCTCTGGGTGACCCGGGATCGAATCCGATAGTGGTTCAAACGGAAATGTCGGGCCCCGTCCCTCATCATCCGGCCGCCCAACTGTGTGCCTAGACGAACCCATAATGGGTTTTACCGGAAGGCGGTCGAAGTAACTCGACCAAAAGTAGTAGTTGACTTCCTCCCGAAAAAAAGGATGGTCAATCACTACCAATTAATACCGGGCCGTGTTCCGTAACGCAGAACGTCTAAGTTAGAATTCTAAGTGGCTTAGTCGGCGGAGCCAAGAATGTTCCTAGCCTCATCGAACGATTATTCTTAGTTAGACAACTGGGCAAAATGGTGAACGAAGTTAAAATTATGATCGCAACAATTGTCGCAAATATGAAGTACCCAATACAATTATTCAAATGAAGCTGCGTCAGATCGTGACGAAATTAATGAAACAATTATTAATTGTATTCAGCGAAATGGACCGTTATCTTACGTTAAAACGGATACCGACGTATGATAATTTTACATTTCGAAGTCATTTTAGAATGATTTGAATGAGAGAATAATATTGTGATTGTTATAATATACGTTTGGTCCAACACGGGCAGTCGTCTTGCAAATCGTACGACGAGACAAAAAGAATGACGTCACTACTAGAAGTTAGCGTAGATAAAAGAAGCTAACTGAACTGGCTAGAATTCTAGCGGTGGGAGGAGTCAAGCAGTAGTTAAAAACGAGTTCAACTTAGCAAGAATTCTGCGTTACTGAACACGGCCCTGGTCTCGTAATATTTGAAAAGTGATCCGTGTTCACTTTCGAGGTTGTGATGGTTGCGCACCTGATCGAGTCCGAAAGATTTCCTATGACTTGCTTAAAAAAGCTGACACTAATTGATTTTATGTTATACCTATGCAAAAACATCTTATCTCACTGAGAATTATTTATTAACCGTAACGAACGTTTTCAACCTTTAACCAACGTTTTTTTTTATATATTTTATAATTTTGTTACTTTAAATTGTATATATATTACTGTAATTTATTCATTGGGCTCAAATAGATATTCCAGAGAATTTTGTATTTTAAATGTGTTCTTAACTGTTCTATACAAAAAACAAACAGTTATCGATATTCCGTGATTTTTAAATACCCGAAGATGGCCTGTAGAACAGGTCGTAAACGTTCGTTGGGGTTAATAAATAATTAAGGTAAGGTGTTTTTGCATAGGTTATGGGGCATCTAGCTGCATATTAATAAAATATTTCGTGTTATAATAAAACGTTTATTTTTTTGCAATTTCACACATATATAAATTGTGTGGGAAGTGTGTTCCCATAAGTATCTCGTTTATAGAAAAATTATTGGACTGCAATTAGAAAAACTTGTAGACCTATAGATTTTGACTGTTACTGTCTGTACGTCTTTCCTCGATCTCGAGAAAGCAGTTAGATACACCAAGGTCGAGACCGAATGTAGAAAACTGAGATGCGGGAGGTCCAGATTAAGTATATACGATCTTCAGGTTTGAAACGGATGTCACGTTACTTCGATTCGAAATTTTCCCCGGAACGAAGTTAAATAGATAACCGGCACGACTATTACTGACAGGAAAAGTATGATGTTCAGGGGCAAAACTACCACTAAAAAACTGAGAACATTGTGACGATGTCACAATAAATAATCGCTCGTTAGAATTAGTTTGGTTTATTTGGTTATAGCAACGCGAGACGCGAACGATCTGCCAGGAGGATGGGAAGCCAAACCCGGAAAAGTCCACACGGCCAGCCCGAACCCACTACTAATTAACTACCAGATTTCGGTGGTTGTGCGCACTCCGCTACTACGGGGTGTTTGTCAGAATTAAGAAAGTACCGTTCAGAAATGAAAAAACCACAGTCGTTAGATGTGGAAAATTAAATGCAGATTTTTCACAGGGTAACACTCGATTGCACGCAGACAAGTGCTGTATGCTACCATAAGCGAATCCAATGTAGATAGAAAGTAATTGATTTACAGAAATCCAATAGATATTTTGGGATGGGATGTACTCAGGGGCGCCGCTAATTGTTTGAACGCCCGTGTGCAATAACGATTATGCCGCCCCCTGTTTAACTACGACTACCTACGCTGAGCTTGCCAGTAAGGCTCTTTAGTGTTGTCTCATAAGGGTGTGAAAAAAGAAAAGAAATACTTTATAAAGAAAAATCTATTTATTATTACTAAGTTATTTTTGTTTACTTAAGTGTAAAACCATATAAATATTTATCTACAGAAATTGAACTCATCTTGCCTTTATGTTTGCGAAATCTGCTATCAATTTTCTTGTATCCAAGCTATCTAAGATTTCGTGTTCGATTGAAACTATAGCTAAATTACTTAGTCTTTGCTGGTGCATTGTTGATCTTAAATAGTTTTTTAAAATAATTTTTAACTTTGAAAAGGACCTTTTACCAAATGCAACTGAAACCGTCAATGCAATATTCTTATTGCTATTGGTGTGTTCGGAAATGTTGAAATTAAGTCATTAGTAAAAAGATATTGTAATAGGGTTTGTGGATCATTAGACTGGTTTTCTGGAAAATACAACTTTAAAGTATTGATTTCATTAAACAAATCAATACCGTCAATGTCTGTTTCACTACTCGAATATTCTTTAAGCTTCAGATTTAAATCCTAACCAAATTAAAATATCATTAATTATACTTATACCCATGTCATAAGAATTATTATCAAAATAATTGCAATTTGATATGCGATAGAACTATTCGAATGCGTACGAGTACAAATTGAGAAGGAAGCTCTGTGGGATTCCCTATCTTCGCCAGTCCTGTCGACTTGTGTCGTAGAGCGCGACTATGGGTACTAGGCTTTTGGGCGCCGCCGGATGGTTCGACCTGCCGACAGACGTTTCGCATTGCATCTTAATTCTGATAAATGCCAATAGAGGCGCTGTTAACGCTATAATATAAATAAGAATATAATAATTGCGCGCCGGTCAGAATTTTTTTCTCCATGCGAAGACATTTCTTATGCTATAAATAGGGTGGGTATTATGACAATGACTTTGAATATTACGTAACCGATCGCTCGATTTGCCGCCCCCTGGACGTGCCGCCCGCGTGTGGTGCACGCCTTGCACGCCCGCTTACGGCGGGCCTGGATGTACTGTACAACATTGTCTAAGTTAGGGGTATATAAACGTAACTGCCGAAGTTTCCTACAATTAATTGGATGAATGGCCTATGAGTGCATAGCGAACAAACATTTATATGTACAGTACAGTATATACTAGCTGTTATTCGCGACTTCGCTCGCGAAAATTTTGCAAGCAAAGCCCCATTTATACTGTATTCAGTATTTCAACAACCATAGTAATTGTTATATAACACCTACCGCCGAGAATCAAACGAACTATTTTCAATTTGATCAATTTTCTGGAACGTTTACAATCGTTCTATAATAGAATCCATATGCAATAACAAATTCGAATTTAAAACGGTTCGAACATTGGATGAAAAATCGAAATATATAAAAATGTTTATAACAATGTCCGAAATGTTATCAATTTAATACACCTAAGTACTCGATGAAGACTAAACCTCTCCCTCTCCCGCCCGCGGGGGAATTTCGAAAAATCCCTTCTTAGTGCGCATTGCCATGGCATACCCTACTAAAACGCAGATAAAAAAATCGCATCTAAAATAGTACAGTAGAAGCCATTGTTCCGGTTAAGCCTTAATGCTTTCCCTCTCCCCCGCGGGGGAATTTCGAAAAATCCCTTCTTAGTGCGCGTTTCCATGACGTACCCTAACTGTCTACCAAATTTCACTTCTTTAGGTTAAGCGGTCTGCTCTGGGCGATGATGAATCAGTGAGTGAATAAGTCAGTCAGGACAAGCAATTTTATATATTTAGATAGACTAACGTCGGCGTTTTAAAAGTCTGCCCAATCAGC